TATCATGGAATATGTCTATATCTATCCATCCATCTATCAAACTCTGTGTGCTACCCAGCAATGACAGCTGATCACTGATTGGAATATTATGCACCAATTTAATGAGGTTGTTCGTTTTCTTTTGCCTTTCAGATGGAGCCTACCGGGCCTACCCCGCTGCTTATGGCCAGGACTCCCTTTTGGACCCCATGATGGAAGGTGCTGACTACCATGCTGACACTCTGCCCGACCTGGGCCACCACACTGATCCATTGCCAGACCTTGGCCACACCCAGGACCTGATGGACAGCAACCAGCTGGCCTGGTTTGACACCGACCTGTAGGATTGGTAAGATAGACTTCCACAGAAAACTTGGAAGTTCACAGTAAAAGCAATATTATTCCATAAATAGAAACAAATTGATTTAAAAAATGTTGTCCTGTGCTCTTTTTGCAGTTGTATTCTGATAGAACCTGCATTGTGATTGGCCTGTATTGTCTGAATCAGCATTATGATTGGCCTGTAGAGTTGTTGAAGGTAAAGAAAGGAATAAGGGGTCTTGGAAAGTGCCTGACACAAGAAAACAAAGAAGATGGTTGCCACGGGAATGTTTAAGCAAGTCGAAGCGGGGGTGGGGGGTTGGGGGGAAGCAGGGGTTAAAGTATCAGAGATGTGGAATCACACAATGGAGGTCTTGGAGCAGGTTACCTAAATGGATGAGTGCACATGAGGTGGATCTTAAAAGTTTGAAACACATGTTTTAGCCTTGCCTGTATTCTTATCAGTTTTTTTGTTTCTATTTTTCTTATTCTATTTTTTTATTTCTTTTTGTATTACTCATTCTCTGTTATGGTACTGACCCAGCTTGCCTTCGCACTAGCCATCTTCATTTTCTCTTCAATGCTAATCATTTGTAATTTTTTTTTTTTTTTTTTTTTAAACGTATATTACATGTAGTGTTAAGTTATAGTGATATTATACAATGTTCCTTTGGTTTATTGCCGAATGTGTAGAACACTAATAATCAGTTGAATTGTACTCTGACTTAAAGTGTAACATTGTGTAGTTTTTTTTTTATAATCTCAAAAATGGAGAATTATGCATTCTTAATATGTGCTTGTTTAAGCATAAAATATGTCAGTGTCACAAATGTTCTAAAGAGGGATATGGGTGAAATTGAGGGTGGGTCGGGGATAAATCTAGAGACAAGTGTTTTATATACAGTATCACTGGTAGGTTAACAACTATTTTGTATGCTATCATTGGATGTCTGATAGAAAAGTCTTTAATGCTATCATTGGTGGTCTAATAAAACCCAGTTTTATGTGCTATCAAGGGTAGCTAGGTTGATGAACCAGTTGTAGTCCTGCTGTGCTTATTTTGGAGACGAGGTTATGACACGGCTGAACAATAAAATGGCATTTTATTTCATTTAGTCTTTGTCCTGTGTCTTCTGTCCATCCATGTGATGAAGTGATTGTTTACTTTAATAGACGGGGAAATGACTGCAATTCATGGCCTCTGAAATTACCTTCACATTGTGTCACACAATCTTAATCGTCCTAATGAAAATTCTAGTGGTATTTCTCATGTTTTGTCAATTGTTACCTTGCAAACTAAAGTAAATGTCTTGAGTACTCAAAAACAAAATATCAAAGCTGCAATTCACACCAGTAAGATGACTGAGCTCAGGATAAAAAATTGAAATAAGGACATGACATTGTCCATTTAAATGTTACTAAAGTCATTTCCACTAATACATATTTAAGCTGCTGCTCTCTGGTTCACAGGTTGAACGCTATGGAGGAAAGCCTGGGAAATAGTTTTAGATAAACTCACTACTATAAGATGCTCTTAGTTTAGGTGTGAGAAAAGAATCTCTGCTGCAGTTAATCACACTCTTTCCTTAATCTCTCCATCACTACCGTTACCTCCAGTAATGTGTCGTCTCCTGAGCCTCACCTGCTGTTTCGGGGGATACAGAAGGGATAATCTGACATATTAAGCAACAGGGAAACACCCAGTAAGTAGAATAAATGCTTTTCATTGTGCCAAGAGGATTTAATTTGCATTATATACAACCACAATATGTTGGGAAGTACTAGTAGTTTAGCGAAATACAAGAACCACAGCCTATACTTCAGATAGTAGTACAATTAACCTTAGGGCAAACTGACCAAGGCTCTTGATGTCAGTTAAGAGATTTGATTTCATTCATCAGAATTACACCTCCAGTGATGCATAGACGGCTCAGGTTGTGAAGTGTTGACAGCAGCATTGAAAGTCGGGAGAAAAGCTCCATACTGTGTGGTCATGGACCCTGTAGTTGTTCCTGCTGTTGTGTATTTCAGAAACATTTACACAAGCAGTCTTAAGTTTGAACTTGAAAGACTCATCAAGGGCATGTTCAAAGCCTTTCCATCCTCAATAGAAGCTGTTCCATTTTAGTTCTTATTTTACTTTTAGCTAAAGCTCAAATGAAAAATCTAATATCCACATTGCCAAAGCAGTTAAGAACATGAGTCATGGTTATAGAGCTTCAACAATATAGCAGTGCTTGTATAAAAGTGTCAAAGACATTGTCAAAATAAGTTTGAAGTGGTTTATGAGAGAATTTAAGGAGGAAAGGACAGAAGTTCACTTTTCAATTAGACTTTCATGGTATGATAATATAACTACTTATGGAATGCCTTTCAAAGCAAAGTTACAAAGTGCTTTCATATTAAGTAAGTTCTTTAAGAGTACAAGTATTTATTTTAATTATGTAATTGGATGTTAAGTGAAACACAAATATATGAAAATCTTTCAAAATATTTTTTTTTTAGTTTTCAAAATTTGCACCCAAAACATATCAGTCTGTTCCAGTAATGTGTTCATAGTTATTCTATATATATAATAATAATTTAATACATTTATGTCTTAAGAAATCTTTGGAAATAGTCTACAGACCCTTCAGACAGGCCTTTAAGATCAACATTAGAGTGAAAGTGTTGATCTTCAGGCGTGGTCATGTACATGTTAATAGACCTTGTACAGTGGCTCACCAATGGTTTGGTGAATGTATGAGATCCAAATATGAACAAATTTTAATGAACCTTAAAACCAGCAGGATTCAACAACTTATGTATATAATTTGCACATACAGATACAAACAATTGGTGGTATGAGTGTCCAGTGCTACTTCTGGGGACCCACTTACAAATATTACTCCAATATATTCAAAAATATTAAACAAAACTTATGCTGGAAAATATGCTTATAACATCTTTCAGCTGGGACTCTGAGGAGCTTCTCCTCCCTCAAGCTCCAGCTGGAAGTTCCTCCATCTGCTCAACAGGGGGCAGCACACACCATGGACTCACTAGTAATGGAGCTGCTAAGCCCATCAAGAGGATGCATGTGTGCACTGAGGCCTCATTCCCTGTCTACACAAGAGCCAGTGCTGCTCCTTATTTCACCAGCCCACACAGCAGTTACATCACTTACTCTGTATCCACATTTACCCATGATGCTCTCCGTTTCTGTCTGTAAATGTGTGTTGTACCTGACATCAGCTTTCTGGAGCACTTTATAATAATAAAAAAGTTAAAACAACTAAAGCTTTTGCTTGTAAAAAAAGTCACTAATATTATTTTTTCCCCACACAAGAAGATACTGAACTCCTTTCGTACTCTAACATGTGAATATAACTCTTCTCCAATATTCTCATTATGTAGTAATACACAACAACATGTCTAACAGTATTAGTAATCAGGGTTTTTTATGCTGGTTGCAGGCATTATCACATTAACAATGGCTCTGTTCTATTCAAGGGTGCCAGTAAGCATGCATGATACCAGCAACCTGAAACTGAAGCAGCTAAATGGAATTCAGCCATCACTACGGTCAGACTGTTACTTTCTGTTCACACATTTGGTGGATGGATTCAATAAATCAGTATTTTATCACTGCTCCTCAGTGGCAAAAGAAGTATTCAGATTCTTAAGTTAAATAAAAGAAGTAATAACACTAAAAAATACATTATTACATGTGGAACAAGAATCATCTGAAGCTCAATGTCAGGGGTGGGTAGGGTTGCCGCTGTTGCTCTTTTATCTGTGTAAACGTGGTGCAGTATTTATTCTTACATTCATATTTAGTCTAGATTAGTGTCAGACAATCCTGCATCTTTGTCTGCAGGTTTTCATTCCAAACAGTATTTAAAGAATAAAGAATCATCATCATTTCACACATGTTTACTGTGTGTTGGTGAAATGCTCCCAATGTCTGGTCACTCACTGAGCTCAGATGAGCTGATAATCACCGGAATGGTGCCTAAAGATTTCCACTTCAATTAACAAGCATTTCAAGCATCGTTCTTGTTTAATCACCCACATTCCAGTGTTTGTCACCTCATCTATTACATGCTGGTGTCTCTGTTGGTGATTTCTTTGGGGAAGGACAACCCGGCTTTTGCATCTACTAAACATGTTAAAATAAGTTGTCTCTAAAACAAAAATAAACTTGGACCTCCAGGTTTGTCTGAGTTAATCTGAAATGCTTGCTTTGGCCTCCCGAACAAAAGAAAATAAATGAAAGTGCAGTTTTTAACACATATAAGGGCTTTTAATAATGCTTAACTTAGTGGTGTTTGCTTATTGTCATTAATAGAAATTCAACAACAGACATTTTTAGAGATTATTATTGAGTTATGATAAACGTAATATAAAATATTTTTTTCACAATCGACATTGTTGTTGATTTAACTTTTTAAATTGTGCAAATATATAGTGATAGAGTGATAATGACCTACTGCCATTTTTTTCCTTGTGTCAAGAAGATGTTATTTCTCTAACAGAACTTCACTGTAATATTTACTAAAACTGAAGTGTTGTCTGCATTGTTAAATATATTTCACACTTATTTCGTCTGGTATTCAGTTCTGGGTTCATTTGCATCACATACTTTTTCCATCAGTGAAGATTGGGTTTGTTATTTTTCCCTCTCAGTGAAAAAAACACAACAATCATTTGTTTTTTCATTTTATTGAAAAGTGCTTACGAAATGTCAGCTATGTAAACACATCACAGCCAGAAACGGAAAGCATCATGGGTAAGTGTGGGTACAGAGTAAGTGATGTAACTGCTGTGTGGGCTGGTGAAATAAGGAGCAGCACTGGCTCTTGTGTAGACGGGGAACGAGGCCTCAGTGCACACATGCATCCTCTTGGTGGGCTTAGCAGCTCCATTACTAGTGAGTCCATGGTGTGTGCTGCCCCCTGTTGAGCAGATGGAGGAACTTCCAGCTGGAGCTCGATGGAGGAGAAGCTCCTCAGAGTCCCAGTTGAAGCTCCTCTTTGTCCCAACTCTGTGGAACTGATGCTCCACTCGGACCGGCACACCAGACAGAGGAGAAGCTCTGGAGGTCTGAGCAGAGGGACTCTCTCTCTTCAGGAGGGATTCAATGGAGAAAGGACTGCTGAATTTCACCTCACATCTGATCTGAACAGTTCTGCAGGCTGCAGGTTCAGGAGAGTGGACAGCTGAGCAGCGCTCTGATGGGCTGCTTGTGTTCTCTGTTTGCACTTTGGAGGCCAACTCAGGGAAGAGCTGCAGCATTCCTTTGAAGTGACGACGCACCATCTTTGCTGTGATCTGACTGGGGTCCAGTTTCCAGTAGTTTCTCTTACTGTCCAGTGAATCTGGGACCACTGGAATCTGAAAAATACAACACATGGTTTTTAGAGTCAGAGTTTAAGTTGTTCCTTTAATAAAATAATATAATCATTTGAAATATCAACAGGTTGGAATAAAAACTTACCTTGACAAAACATTTGTTGGTTGATAAACAGACTCTAATGTTGTTCTCAACAGATTTTCTGTCTTCAGAGATTAGAGGTGCCAGCTTGTCCATCAGCTAGAAAACATTAAGTTGAAATTAAATTAAAGGTTTCAAAAAGACCACATGTGCTTCTTAAACAGTCACATCACTGTAAAATGGCTTTAGTCTTTCTTACCTGAGTAAAAGTGAGCATCTTGCCTGGAGCATCTTGGAGGACGACAGCGATCTTAGCCAGGTAGGTGGTACTCTTCCTGAACAGACGCTGCTGAGAGCTGCTGGCTGGAACAAAGAAAGGCAGCTGAGCTGCAGACTTCTCCATCTTTTCCTGCATCTTGTTTGCTGGAGAATCAGATGAGTCAAGTCACACACACACAGAGCTGTGTGATCACAACCTCACTGAGTGCAGATGTGGACATGAAGTGGTCAGCTGTGAATATAAGTCCTGTTGGGACAATAGGACATCAGAGGGTGTGCACTGCAGGTTAATGAGGAGCTTTTGATAAGTAGATGAGCCATTAATGCTGGAGGTGGAGTCAGTGATCATTAATAGTCCATTACTAAAAGATCATCAGCATCTCTGAATGCTCAAGGCACTCAGTCCAGTTTTTTTTTTGAGGCCTCCATTAATAATTTATTATTATATTCAGAGTAAAATCTAAGTTTGAAGTGTTACAGTATGTAACATTTAGGTGATTTTTCTTATTAACCATTCAATGATCTTGAATTTAAACTTCCATTTTGTATTTTCTCTCAATCTTTGTTATGCTTTTATGTTCTCTATTAAGTTTAGTTGTGTGTCTCCAATCAGTAGCAGTGTGTGTGTGTGTGTGTGTGTGTGTGTGTGTGTGTGTGTGTGTGTGTGTGTGTGTGTGTGTGTGTGTGGTGCTAGTGCATGGATGGGGGAAAATGAGGAAATGTTCCTGTGCTCATGTTTTTGTTATTTGATTTTAAAACTAAAAATTTCCCCAACGTCATTTACGGTACAATAAGTAATGGGGTTGACACATTACAGCCATCATAAATTGTCTTGCAGATAATAATAATGTATAATATAATAATATATTTTATTTATAAAGTGCTTTTCAAAGAACTCAAAGACATTCTTCATACAGAAAACATAAAAGTATAAAAAGTTGCTGATATTCAAACCTGTGCTATATCAAAGTGCCAATCTCTTTTGATTCAGTCCATTACAGTGTCACAGTCAGTCAGTGTTTTGTACTCGTTCTTAAGTTGTTGCTTATTCCCATCCTTTCATTCTATACAGGTAGCTTTTGAAGTGGAATTTATTAACCAGAGAGTAGGACTGCACAGTTAATTGAAATATTAACAAAATCGCAATAAATAATAAATAAATGTGTGACAAAAATGAATTAGTGAAGTACTATAGTGCTGCAGAGGTGCCCTGGTCTACAAATCTTATTCGCCACATTTAAGAAAACATGTTTGTTTGATACAGACCCCCAAACATTTCACATCATTATGATTTAATCATGTTTTTTGAGGGATGAAAATCTAATTTTTGAGGCAACATAATCGTGAATCACAATATCTGTCAAAATAATCACAATGTGATGTTTGTACCATATCGTGCAGCCCTACCAAAAATCTAATCTCTCCGTCCAAGAAGAAAACGTTTAAATATCAAACGATGTTGACGCGCAAAGCAACAGGCCTTCTTGAGAAAAGCTGTTTCTTAAGATGAAAGTTAGGATGAGCATACTGGCAAGATTTGGGGGCATTCTTTATGAAATATTGATCACATACACAGTCTAATGTTGCCCTTTTTAATAATCACTACAAGGTGTGCAGTTTTATCGGTATATTCATTTATTGAGCAACCTTTTGACTTTCTCTAATAGTTTGTATATAGATGACTTAAAGAATATATAATACATATTTAGTAGATTAAACTAGTGTAAACCAGTAAATCACTCTCACAGACAAAGGCTGTAATGAAAGAGGTGACAATCACTGGAATGTAACCGTTCAATTGGGTGATTACAACAAACACAATGGTTTTGACTGGAATGTAACAGGTCTTCAGTCACATTTAGTTTAACTGAGTGAAGTATTCCACTAACACATAGTAAACACATTTTAAACTACATTGTATGAGTTGGTGTTTTTTAAATTTCTACATGAAGAAATGTCTTTAAATTAAAAACATGTTCATTTTCACAAAACTTTTAGAATTTAATATTTTTGTTTTTTGTTTAATCTTGTGTTGGAAAGACACTTTATTTATTAACACAATATTGATATATCCTTGATAAAAAAAGTATTTTTCTAAAATCAAACTCAGCATCTGTATCTTATGGAAGCAACTTCAATTGAAAATGTGACTGTCCTAAGAAAACACCTGTCTACCTCTTCATTACTAAACAAATGACTCTTAAAATGTCAAAGAATGATTTGCCTCTCTGTGCTTGTTTTATTTTATTCTAATAGATTGTTGTTTTGCTGCTGACTAACTTCACTTTGTTGTAATTTCTGAGATGAATATTTATATAATAGAAGAACACTGGGTCTTCTTATGGAGACAGTTTTAGTTGAAATTCAGGAACAGTACATTGTAAATTAGCATTTGTATTATAACCTCCCTGGGTGCCACTGACTGACCAACTGGATCCAGGTTTAGCAATGTCACCCAGATGTCTTACTGAACCTGCTTCTAGGAACAGACCCTAGAGCAGCTGAGTAGCACAACCTCAATCAAAGACAAGTGAAATCAGCTGGTCTCGTGTTTGGTCAAAATGGAAACTTGCGGACTCACAGCCCTCCATCACAGTCAAGTTCTAAACTAGTTTTTGCATAAAAGCATTCAGCACAGGTAATGTGTTGATGCATCTGAATGGGGATCACTGATGTAAATGACTTTGGTCATTATGTTGGACAATAGGTTTGACTCAAGAGGAGTTAACTGCTGGAATGTGATTAGATTGCTCATTGGAATGTCAGTGTGTGTATTATCAGACCAGCCTTGTTTATTTGTATCACCACTTCAGAAATAATGCTGAACACAATGTAAGATGAAACCTTATAGTTTTAAGTTTGTGAAACATTTACTGAAGTTATAATGTCCACAATATCACAGGAGGAAGCAGGAACAACACACACCTGCAGATTGTTGAGAATCAGCTGAAGTTTGCCTGTTGCTTCATGTGGAAACAACTTCAGTCTGACTGAGATGGATTATATTTCACCAGTGTTATTTAAAAAAAAAAAAGATTATTAGTTATTAGAATTGTCTAAAACTGATGCAAATTATTGATGTTAATTATTTTAAAAAGTAGGTTACTAGAATTACCAGCATTTCTTATATAATGTCATTATAGCTATAGCTTCTAAGGTTCACAATACCTTTTTATATATTTTTGTATATTAGTTTGTTGATCTATTTTGGCTTTGATTGTACCCAATTTTTACACTTTCTTTAGCCAATTTGATTTGAGTATATGGTTTACTTTTAATGAAGCCTCAAACCCACATTGAATGTCCATGTTAAATATCAAGTCTGAACAAAGAAGCAGATCAGACTTGCAGAACATCCATATAGAGATGCTGATTAACTTTTGGATACTGTGATCACTGACTCCACCTCCAGCATTAATGGCTCATCTACTTATCAAAAGCTCCTCATTAACCTGCAGTGCACACCCTCTGATGTCCTATTGTCCCAACAGGACTTATATCCACAGCTGCCCAACTCAGGTCCACATCTGCACTCAGTGAGGTTGTGATCACACAACTCTGTGTGTGTGTGTGTGTGACTTGACTCATCTGATTCTCCAGCAAACAAGATGCAGGACAAGATGGAGAGGTCTGCAGCTCAGCTGCCTTTCTTTGTTCCAGCCAGCAGCTCTCAGCAGCGTCTGTTCAGGAAGAGTACCACCTACCTGGCTAAGATCGCTGTCGTCCTCCAAGATGCTCCAGGCAAGATGCTCACTTTTACTCAGGTAAGAAAGACTGAAGACGATCTCTTAATAAAATTGCCATATGCAAGACAGTCACATAGAAATTCTAATTTCAACTTAATGTTTTCTAGCTGATGGACAAGCTGGCACCACTAATATCTGAAGACAGAAAATCCGTTGAGAATAACATCAGAGTCTGTTTATCAGCCAACAAATGTTTTGTCAAGGTAAGTTTTTATTCCAACCTGTTGATATTTCAAATGATTATATTATTTTATTAAAGGAACAACTTAAACTCTGACTCTAAAAACCATGTGTTGTATTTTTCAGATTCCAGTGGTCCCAGATTCACTGGACAGTAAGAGAAACTACTGGAAACTGGACCCCAGTCAGATCACAGCAAAGATGGTGCGTCGTCACTTCAAAGGAATGCTGCAGCTCTTCCCTGAGTTGGCCTCCAAAGTGCAAACAGAGAACACAAGCAGCCCATCAGAGCGCTGCTCAGCTGTCCACTCTCCTGAACCTGCAGCCTGCAGAACTGTTCAGATCAGATGTGAGGTGAAATTCAGCAGTCCTTTCTCCATTGAATCCCTCCTGAAGAGAGAGAGTCCCTCTGCTCAGACCTCCAGAGCTTCTCCTCTGTCTGGTGTGCCGGTCCGAGTGGAGCAGCAGCTCCACAGAGTCGGGACAAAGAGGAGCTTCAACTGGGACTCTGAGGAGCTTCTCCTCCATCGAGCTCCAGCTGGAAGTTCCTCCATCTGCTCAACAGGGGGCAGCACACACCATGGACTCACTAGTAATGGAGCTGCTAAGCCCATCAAGAGGATGCATGTGTGCACTGAGGCCTTGTTCCCCGTCTACACAAGAGCCAGTGCTGCTCCTTATTTCACCAGCCCACAGAGCAGTTACATCACTTACTCTGTACCTACATTTACCCATGATGCTCCCCGTTTTCGCTTATAAATATAGTTTTTACTACTTCCAAATTGCACTTTTATATGTATGTTCTATGTTTTTGAGTGGAGCGTACACTTCAGAGATTTTTCTATAAAAAAAAAAATAATCAAACCACAAGACCAACAACTGGTCTCATTTCTTTCATTTGTGGCTCAATTTTGTTGGTCTTTAACTTGTCTTTATCTCCTGAAGTTATTGATGTGTACTTTTTTTTTTTTTTGCTGTTTATTTTGTGTTTGAGGTCAATATCTGACCATAAGAGGGCAGACTAGTATTTCAAAGTTTAGCTTGAAATGCAACAATTGTCAACACACTCCTTGTATCAAAGTCAGAACAATTAAAGCTGTCAAAGATCTTCTGCATCCTGGTACTTTAATACAACATTTATGTGACATTTTCTTTTAACACTATAATTATTTGCATATTTATAGCTCTTTAACATCCTAATCTCACCTGTAAATCTAGGTCATGCCACGTTTAAGGTGTAAAGAGAAAACCACAACATCTAATGGTGCATGCCATGATTACAAGCACCAAATACTGAAAACCATTCTTCTGTTTAAATTGTTAAATTTGAACTTTAAACCTTGTTCCCTGAAGCTGCAGTCATCATATTTAGTGGGTGACCTAATACTTGAGTTTACTGACCACAGTGGCAAGGTTAAGTTAAGCAAATAGGTAGTAGATGAAATCTGTTTGCTGTTCTATTTGCAGCACATCACCATGCCAGCACACTCCCTTGTAACAAGGTACATTTGCTGAACCCTAACCTACTTAATTCATGTGAACAGCATAAGAGTGTATCTGTCTCCATCACCACATCTTGCTGTTAGGTCACTGCATGGGAACACAGGAAAGACAGGTAGTAATTTACAGCTTGTCTCGACAAGCAGGTTTGGTTACAAGTGGTATGGTGTATTGTAAAGGGTGTGCAAGAGCCGGGGGTTACACATGATGTTTAAAACCAAGAACATGGTAGAATACCTTTTTAAAATCCTGACCCCAGATTGCACATTCAGACTTATGTTGTTCAGTTTCCAATTATAGAAATCAAACATTTGGTATAAAGCAAGAGTTAGGTGGTCTGAGGCTTGGATGCAGTAGATTTAAGTCATAAGCCCCCACAAACCACAAGATAATGTTTACAAGAAGACGCCACAGCTAATTGGTGGTAAATAGGCTTTAAATCATATAGTGTGCCTCAGTCTGGAGGAGAATGTTTTTTATTCAGCACTTACGAGTTATGAAGCAAATAACTCAGTAGATTGAGAGACCTGAGGTCAAGTTTAGATGTTAATTCTTATTCATTTTATCCCCGTTATTTGACAGCCCTTATCAAGGTCAGAAATTTCTCACAGATAACGTCAGAGCACGTGAGTCTTGTAGTCAAAGGAACACTGGGGGAGCTCTGTCATGAGACGAGGACTTGGCCGGACAGAGGGCAAAGAAGAGGAGTTGGGTGAGCTCAGCATTTGGCATCGTATGCCCACGACATACTTCCACCCTGTGGGATTACTGGTGGACGACCTAGATTGTGATGCAGCCCTCCTGCCCTCCATTTTTTTCCCCCCTCCCTTCCTCCCCTGACAGAGATCTGCCAGGCTCTCAGAGAGCAGAGCCTGGCAGTCAGACAGGGCCGCTGAGCACTGCTGACCTTACCATGTGTCTCTATGTATACATGTTTTTATGTTACTCTTGTTGTAAATAGGTCTTCTTCCCAACCACACAGTCTTCCTAACCCCTGAACCAAAATATGCATCTCCTCTCCTTTCAAATAAGAACAGATCAAATTGAGCTCTGGGTCAGTAACACCATCACATGCACAGTGACAATTTAAATGTTCTGACATTGTTGTTTTAATTATTTGTTAGTAAAGTGGTAAGGTTTCCGTTCCACTAGAAATTGCCTGATTGTCTTTGGCCCGCGCTTCTCACCATGACCCATTGTATGAGCGTGTGTGTGTGTGTGTGTGTGTGTGTGTGTGTGTGTGTGTGTGTGTGTGTACGTGCATGTTTCAGGCTAATCCTAGACAGTTGCTCTGCATCTTGTTTACATGTAGGCCAGGAGACACCGTGGGAGCCTGATGCACTGAGGACAAACACACTATTAGCCCACAGACTTCCTTTTCCTCCCATTTGACAGTGGAGTCCCAAGATTAATGAAAAAAATATCTTGTTGTCATTTTAACTTAAGGTGTTATGCTTCGTACTATAATAGCAAACAAAAAATAATAATACTACAATTTAACCATTTGGCTCACTGTACAATAAAAGCAACATCATACACTTTTGGGAATATATTGCAGTAATACCCAGGGGTGGAAGACGTATTCAAATCCTTTTGTCAAGTAAAAGTAACAAAATCCACAAAATAAAGATACTCAATTACAAGAAAAAATGGTTTTATCACCAAAATGCACATAAAGTATCAAAAGTGCTCAGTGTTATTTTATTGTTATGTCCCGTGTGTTACATTTAGGAGGCTCTACTGGCAGAAATAGAAAACAATATGAATAATTACTATGTTTTCATTAGGGTATTATGTTTGTGGGTGTTATGTTTTTGTAAAAATGCAGCATATTTTTTAAGTGGCTCACTTGTGTATAAAATCTTGTAAAGTAACTGTAGCAACTATAGCTGCCTGATAAATGTAAAAAGTAGAATGTTTCCCTCTAAAATGTGGAGTTAAACTAAAAGGTAACATAAAATTTAGTAAACCAGTTAAGTAACACCTTGAGAAATAGCAACTACCATGAAGTTTAATGTGAAACCTGCCTAAGGGAGTAAACTACTACAGGTATGTTGTGTTGATTTTTTCTTAAAGGTACAGTAGACTTTGAAGACTTTAAGTCCAGCACATCATCTCACGGAACTCCCTGTCCTAATGCCGTAATGTCCCGACCCGGAGTTGTCCTAAAGGTGTGGCACTCGGACGTAAGAGGATAAACAAGCACCACGTTGACATCCGCTCACAACAAACAACAATCGGGGCAGTCACGTCGCGCTCGTCCTCCTCGTCCCGGCCCCGCCCACAGCTGCTGCAGCCATCCTGAAACTACTGTATCATTACAGCCTGTTCATACAGCCTGCGGGGCTGTGCTGCGTTCAAGTGCTGCGCGTAAAAACGTCATATCACACATTCAGCCCTGTTGTCGTTGGGATTGTTGTTATTTTGAAAGCTACATGAAGTTACTTTGAGCTGCACTAACTTAGTAGAAATGAAAGAATAGTTGTTGTTAAAAAAAAAAAAAAAAAGTAACTGGAAGTTAATCAAAGTGGATTTTCATTTCATAGGCCTACTATGTTATACTTTCCGGGAAATGGACTCTGTTTTCTGACAACTATAGTTTCTAGTTACTTTACAAAGATTTTACACACAAAACATAGGATGCATTGTCCTTAATCAAAATATGCAAAAGTATATACATTATCAAATAAATTAAGATTAATTTCACCACCACAAACTATAACAGTAAACTGCTACAATAATGACTCTGTTGTAATAATAATAATAATAATAATAATAATAATAATAATAATAATAATAAAACACTCCCACTGGCCATTTTACTGAACTGGGTGCTTTTACTTTTGATACTTTAGGTACATTTAGCTAATAATGGACTTAAACATCTTGAATGCAGGATGGTGTATTTTAACTGAGTAGTATTGTTACTTTTTCTTAAATAAAACAACTGACTATTTCCTCTCCCACTGCCCTTTTCCTACTTGAATTTATGACAGAAGCTATATTTACAACAACCCCTGAAGGCAGCATTACACACAATCAATAAGCCCTTAGTGATAACTTTGAAAGTGCTTTGTAAAGGGTTTTGCGAGTTGACCTAAACTGTTTCAAGAAACCTTCAAGATTTTTTCTGTATCAACACATTGTCCCATCAAGAAAAACATCTTTTTGTTATTACTTTGATGCATGAAAATGAAAAACAGCAGCAGGCCTATCACAAGGGTATCTCAGTAGAAATACACTGATAATACTTTTTTATAACTGATACATGTTTTGTCTTCAGACAGCGTAAAAGTGACCTTTGATTTACAGCTGTGATATTGTGTGTAATATTACCAACTTTTAAAGAGTGGGCTGTTTATTTATATATGGTTAATAAGGAATAATTAACAGCTGGGCTATTTGGGTCACCAACTAATTCTTTACTAATTATTAACAGCTCTGACAGTGAAGTAGTATCACAGTGCTCCAATTATGTGTCCAAATTTTACCAAAACAAACTGTCAATCATTAAACATTGTGTTACAGTATTCACTCCTTCCAGCAGTGCAGTAAGTTTGAGCCTTCACTGAGTTAATCAGCTGTAAGTTTTCCTTGGCCGCGCATGAGTCTGTAACTTTAAGGACATGCAGGTCAGTCAAATCATCCTTCCCACACACGCAGTCATGCAAGACTGTCATTCCAAAGCCCTACCTGCCCTCTGTAACACCCCTCAGATACCTTTTAAAGTAATAGTTCAACATTTTGTTAAAGACCCTAATTTGCTTTAATAAATTATATGAGAACATTGGTATACTCTCTCAGGAGAGTGGTATCAATCTTCTCATCTAACTCCTGAGAAGAAATCCAAAGATATTTCCTAAAATGTTAAACAATTCTTTTAAATAATTACAGTAATGCTCTGTTGATATTTCCACTGTCCATGTGTCCCTGTGTTTTTCACAGACAATGAAAGGCGAGGTGTAATAATCCTGCTAATTCCCACTTTACCATTCTTATTTCCACTGATACCCCCACTCCCCTCATCCACAACGTACCAACCCTTATATTTATTTCATTGGACACCCACATCCCAATAATCCAAACAGCTGTGTCCGATGTTTATATATAAACCCTGTTGTTCCGCAGTACATCAACTCATTTTGCTGATGTCGAGGACGAGTGAAAACAGAGTCCCATCTGCGACACAGCAGGGGTTGTTTTCACTGTTTTCCCTCTGTATATCACAGACCGCCCCTTTAATACATACAGGAGGATGCCCATGACCAGGATTGGGATTTATATTTCACTATTAGGCTCCAATAATTCCAATCAACTTGATAGGAGCTGAATCAAGCTGTGAATTGATTGTTCACTCGATTTTCTACTGTGTTTCTCTGTAATTAAGTCTGAATCTAAGAGGGTGCAGTCTCACCCTGTCATCCTGACCTTGCATATTTTCCTCAGGAATCAAAACAGAGGCTGGTTAGGTGCAGTTTCCACTTTAGCAACCGGTCCAACTTTATCAGCGCAGGCTGACCTGCTGCTGGAATGTGTTGCTCCTGCCAGGTCGAAATGCAGAAGAATAACTTTGCAATTAGGCAGGATTTCCACATGCATGAAAAAGTCACACATGTGGAAGGGAAGCGTGTTAAATGTCACAGGCACAATTAAACAGCAGCATTAATTTGTTGCTAATGTAACCAAAGTACATGTTCATGTTGGTGTTAATTTAAGCGATTCCTGGGTAACACCAAGTGCCAAGCCTGTACCCAGCTATAGTAGAGCAGTACAGATTTACACACGGCATTGTGTGAAAATCTCTGAGAGTGCTACTCCAGCTTTGTTCTAGTGTGTCATCAGTACCCAGTGTGCCTTGACATGTTTACTGTGTCTAAAATTGGTACTGGTGATAAAGACATTAGCGCTACGATGGAGAACTTGACGAACAGGGACAGTAGCTCTGGGAAGATTAGCTCCAGTCCACTCACTGTTTGTTTATCTGCTTTTTCTTATGCAACACAGAATGCGCTCAGTCAGATGCATGCTGGTCATTCATACAATCGCACTCCGCTTTGTATGCAGTTGCATAGATGACAACTATTCCCTCTTATCATTATGAGTTACTGAGTTTTGGATAAGCACAAAGGGCAACTGTGCATATCAGATTGTCACTTGACTACATTGTATATAATAATAATATAATACTTTGTTCTTATTCAGTTACACAGTGTGAATCTGTGAATGTCCAGGCTTTAATTTGTTACTAGTCTTGTGTCTTTGCCTTTCTTAGAAAGGCAGAAGGTTGTTCATGTCTTTTTAAGATAAGGCCTTTAATAATTACACAGACTTGTTTGTCTCAGAATCATCAGCTGACTGTCAGTGTGGTTATGTGACTCTAAACTGCTGCTTTCATTAAAACAACAGGTCTGATAAACAGCTTTGATAACAATTAAGAAGACTGATTTCTTTTCTTTATTATGATTTACATATGTTCTCAGATTGCAGCATCTGCATTAGACAGGAGAAGAAATTCATTCAACAATAATGACCTGCGGAGTGTGATCACGTTTTGTAGTTAGTTTAATCTTTGCCCCCAGGCGCTCACAGACCAAACAAACAATGTTATTAAGGCCTTACCGTTTAATGATGACTGTTATACATTAGTAACATTTACCCAACGTGGTTAGTCACTCAGTAACAACCTTATCAACATCAAGAGAAAAGAGGACAGTCTTATCATAGCAGTTGCTGCACCTTATTGAGATAATCAATATTGAATATAGGTCGGGCTGCGGAAAACTTCACATCAGAACCTGCTGGTAAATTCACTTTACAGCCGAATAAAAAAAGTTTATTTGTCTGTTGTGATAAGGTCTGCATAAATTCATAAACACCTGGGTGCTGGCTGCTAAAAGATCTCTTTCTAGGATATACACCCACAAAATAAACTAACATGCCAAAGTGGTTTACAAAAATCATTATCAGTGAAGGGAACAAGATATGTCTGTTAAGCTAAGCATGAATAAATCAGACATAGAAAACATGTGAAGCATATTTTTAACACATTTAGTTTTTAAAGGAATAGTTAATGTGAGGAGCTTGTAGATGTATAGGGAGCTTAAAGTTACAGACAGCTAGCTTAGCTTTTACTTTTGTTTTTGTACATGTTAAACAAATGAGATATACTGTGTTAATTGGTGAGCTGTAGAGGTGCTGTTCCCCCCTGTTTCCAGTATTTGTGCTAAGCTAAGCTAAGCTAACTAACTGCTTGCTTTGAGAGTGCTATTTATAACAAGAAACAAAACTGGGCCATGCACTTCTTTAAATGATTTATCTGGACACCACAGGTTAGAATGGAAAGTAACTTTTTAACTTCTTGGTTCATTTTACAAAAAGTTTGTAAAGATTTACCCCTGAGGTCAGTAGCCACTGTCAATGACTCATCATCAGTGTTGTTTTGCTTTTCACTGAAAATACAATGCAGGCATACCTTTCCGCATTGGACACAAATTTACATCATCTTTACAGACCTTTTACTACGTGACCCCAGACACATTTTATGTCATGTGTGTCTGAATCACCCTTTCCAGTTACAAGCATGTTGCATCACTCTGGCTGTCATGACTGGTTGGATCCACTTTAAAGGAGGGCCACACAAAGGGATGGGCGTGTGCAGTGAATAAAGGTGTCAGTTCATAATTGTGTTATATTTAATGTAAATACATTTTATGTACAGCATTCAGCAATAGTATGTGTAATGGATGAGCTTTGACCTTCAGTGCTACATACTCTGTCTTTTATTATCTGCTGTTTGCAGTGAACAGAGGTCAAACACACTTCAACTGAGTGGCCCCTTGACTGGCGTACAGGCAGCAGGAGATAGTTACAGCCAGTGCTACTGCTGCATGTACAGTATCGACCTACGGTATAAATGGAAGAGGCAGGAGAAGAAGAAAAGAGGAACAAGACAAATGAACGACACAAAAAGCAGAATCTAATTTGCTCGAGTGTTCCTTGTAGATTTCAGGATTCAAAAGTTACATTAGATTTTAGTCTTTCTGTTTACATGTTGTGTTCTTACACCAAGTTCCCTGAAATCACTGTACATGATTACTAATAATAATAATTACTTGTACAGTACTTTTAAAAATGAAGTCAGCAAAGTGCCTTATGTGAAAAATGAGAGAACTAAAGACTAAACGAAGAAGTTACAATATAAGGGATGAATCCCAAGGATTTGAGGAGCTCTGCCAGCTGCCCCACTGCAATCAGCCAGGTGAAAGTCCACTAGTTTTATCAAGTGTTGAGACAATCTGCGACCCA